CATATTATGTGGGATAGATAATAAATATCAACAGCTGTAATGGTAGTATTACAACCCTGAAACTAACAACTAAAACTAAGAGAACATAAACTCACATTGCTAACTGAACAAAGATCCACAAAATGATGTAGTTTATCTGATACAAATCTTTCATACAAAATCTTGTTGCAGAGCACCTGGAAAAAACACAAGAGAGTATAATATAACGAGGTGAGAAATACAACCCACTTGACCGAAAATAAACTGCAACTGGTTTCTTAAAAATAAAATGCACTAACAAGTATTGTTTTCTTTTAATAGGCCCTTCACAAAAAAAACCCAATATGGTTTTTCTTAATTTAAATTTTTGGGACATTTTTATTGGCTAAAAAGAAGGCATTCCCCGTACTCTTTTAGCGTCGGGGCTGCGAAAAGTGATTTGAAGTGGTAATGCGACGGAAGTAATGAGCTAGACAGCCAAGAACAAGAAACATGGAAGTCTCCGACTGACACGCAAAGGTATTCAATAACTGTTAAGAACCACCTTGTTAGATATTTTGCAGCAACCCGAGTACAATACTTTGCCTGTAGCTACTTTCAAAGTGTTCCTCTCTGCTCATCCTACTGTTGACTACTGTGATGCTTCGACCTTCCCTACCGAATCGCAGGCAAAGTCATTCGTATCTCAATTGATAGCAGAAGCATAAAAGGTTGGCAATTGCTTAATGATGCCGAGAATGTGGCTTTATTTATACATACAGAACTTACATCCAGCGTGTAGACCTTAGTAGTTAGTAGGGAGATTTGAAGATGCTGTATTTCACTTAAAAATTTAGCAATTAACAAACAAAAACTCGTCTCAAAAAGATACGTCCAAAACCACCCTCTTGGGAGTTTCCGAATTGAACTTACTTTTAATATTCAACAAATTGTAATGTAAAGACACCCCTGAGGAACGTGTTAAAATAAAATGCACCAAAAACAAAACCTTATCTAAAATATATTATAAAACTGTACCTACTAATAAAATACTCCCTTTACTTATCACTTCATCTACTTATTATATAATCACGTAGAAATTTTGGGCTTTTTTCCCAAAGCTGAAATTACATATTACATTACAAAGTCATTCAAAACTGTAGTAACCAAATGTTGCGTCATCGAGGTCACGTGACTGGTGTGGCACCCTCTATTTTCTAGAACTATCTTGTTTTTTCATGAATGTTCTAGTTCTTACTAGATATAGGGTAGGCGGGTATATATAAGACGTGACGCGGGATTGTAATGTGTGTATAGATAGTGAGTAATTGATCTGCAGTAAGAAGTATTATTGAGCACGTTCGTTGTTATAGCGTTTGTTTAG